GGCGGTTGGCCTCATCTCATTTGGTAGTGCCCACCGAAGCGTCCCAAGCTGAATAGAAGTGGCAACCAGCCTTGGTTTGGAGCATAGCCTCTCCAAAGTTCCTGCAAAGCCAGCACATGCAATAACCAACCACAGATCACTTTGTAGCTCCTACTCCGTGGCCTTAAGTGCAGCACAAGCAGCAGCTGACCTTGGCCTGCAATGGAGCCCCTCCCAAGAGACTCCAGAACCAACTCATCTAGTGGCTGGCTTTAGACTGTATCATAGCAACACCTAACCAGCTCCACAAATGACTCCGTAAAGGACAGATATGCTTGGCACAAGAGCCCTGCTAAAGTGACTCCTGCTCTGTGGGGTCAGCCTTCTGCACATCAGCTCATCCACTATAGGCATCACTAGCACTCTTAGCCTGTCAGCCTGAGGATCAACCACACTGAGGTGCTAAAATCAATATAGCAGGAGGGCATGCACAACCCACACAAGGGATACCTTGGAGCACCTGGGTCAGGAGATAAGAAAGACTATGTCCCACAGGATACCTACTACATAAAGCCACTCTTCCAAGATAGGAGATGTAGCTATCTACCTAATACATAAAAAAGAAGTAAATAAAATGAAGATAAGCAATCTACCAGAGTTCAAAACACTAGTTATAAAAAAATGTTCAATGCATTTAGGGAAAAAAATAGATGAACTTAGTGAGAACTTTATAAAGGAGAGAGAAAATATAAAAAGTAGCACTTAGAAATGAAGAATGCATTAGGTGGAATCAATAACAGATTAGATGAAGCAGAGAATCAAATCAGCACTTTGTAAGAAAAGATAGTGGGAAACAAGCAAAAGCAGACTTTTTTTTTTTTTTTAAATGAGGACAGTTTAAGGACCTTTGGGATAACATCTCAGGGTTACCAGAAGGAGAAAGGAGAGTGTAAGGGATTGAAAACCTATTTGAAGAAATAATGACTAAAAATTTCCCCAATCTAATGAACAAAATAGACATACTGGTTCAGGAAGCACAGAGCCCTGAACAAGATGAACCCAAAGAGGCTTACACCGAGACACATCATAATTAAAAATGCCAAAGGTTAAAGACAAAGATTCCACTTAAAAGCAGCAAGAGGCAAATAGTAACATACAAGAGAAATCCCCTGAGACTGTCAGCTGATTTCTCAACAGTAATTGTAGGCCAAAAGGAAATGGTACAAGATATTCAAAGGGATGAAAGGAAAACACCTAAAACCAAGATGACTAGGCTATCATTTAAAGTCAAAGGTGAGATAAAGAGTTGCTCGGAAAAAAACAACAACAAAAAACTTAAGAATTCATCACCACAAACAAAGGGACTTCTTTAAGAAGCAGAGAGAAAAATATTCTCACTGACAGGCAAACAGTAAAAGCAAAAAGATTTAAAAAAAAACAAAAGTAGAAAGATCATTTGTAATTACAATAATAAACTAAGGACTAGCCACAAACAAAAGAAATAAAAAAGAATGACAAAAACAAATATGGAGGATGTGAGTAAAAATTGAGTAAAAATTGTAATGATTTTAGAATGTGTTTGAACTAAAGCAACCATCAACTTAAAATAGACTGCTGTAAACATAGTGTGGTATATGGGAAGCACGTGGTAACTAACAACCAAAAGAATATAATCAAGAAATAAGGAGAAAGGAACTTAAACATAACACTATAGAAAGTCATATAAGATAGCAAGACGATAAGAAAGGAAAAGAGAACTACAAAAACAAATAAGTACATACCTATCAATAATTACTTTAAATATAAATGGACTAAATGCTCCAATCAAAAGACATAACGTGGCTGAATGGAAAGAAACACAAGACCTGTACATATGCTGCCTATAAGAGATCCACGTTAGATTAAAAGCAGACACAGACTGAAAGATGCAAAAATACATTTCATGCAAACATAAGTGAAACAAAAGCTGGGGCAACAATACTTATATGAAGTAAAATGGACTTTAAACCATAGGCTGTAACAATAGACAAAAAAAGACATTTTGTAATGAGAATGGGATCAATCCAACAAGAGGATAAAATTTTTATAAACATTTATGCACCCAATGTAGGAGCACCTAAACATATAAAGTAAATATTGACAGATGTAAAGGGAGACATCTATAGTAATAGTGGGGACTCTAGCACTCTATTGACATCAATGAATACATAATCCAGATAAAAAATAAAAAAGAAACAGTGGACTTAATGACACATTAGACCAGATGTACTTAATTGGTATTTTTAGAACATTTCAACCAAAAGTAGCAGAATATACATTCTTTTCAAGTGCATATGGAACATTTTTCAGGAAAGACCACATGTTAGGACACAAAATGTCTCAATAAATTTAATAAGTTTAAAGTCATAGCAAACATCCTCTCCTATTACAATAATATGGAACTAGAAATCAATTAAAATGAAATCAAGGGGGAAAATCAAAAACTATCTTAAGACAAATTAAAATGAAAACACAACCAACCAAAATCTATGGAACATCGAGAAAGTAGTTCTAAGGAGGAAATTTATAGCAATGATGACCTACCTACACAAACAATAAACATCTTTAATTAACAAACTAACCTTACACCAAAAGGCACTAGAAAAATAACAAAGCCCAAAGTGAATGGAAGTAAAGAAAAAATAAAGATCAGAGCAGAAGGAAAGAAAATAGTCTGAAGAAACAACAGAAAAGACCAATCAAACCAAGAGTTGTTTAATTGAAAAGATCACACAATTGATTAACTTTCAGCCAGACTCATGAAGAAGGAGGGTTCAGATACATAACACCAGAAATAAGAGGAGTAATGACAACTAACACCACAGAAATACAAAGAATTATAAGGAAATACTATGAACAAATATGCCAACAAATTGGACAATTTGAAAGAAATTGTTAAAATCCTAGAAACATACAAGCTTCCAAGACTGAATCAGAAACAATCTGAATAGACTGATAATAACAAAATCCAAAAACTCCCAACAAACCAAAGACCTGGATCAGATGATTTCACAGGTGAAATTTTACCAAACATCCAAAGAAGAATTAATACCTATCCTTTTCAAACTATTCCAAAATATGTATGTATGTCCAATTGAATATTATTCCATTATAAAAAAAAAAGCATGAAATCTTACATTTGTGACAACATGGAAGGACCTAGACGATATTAAGGAAAGTAAAATAATTTAGAGAAAGACAAGCACCATATGATTCGACTTGTATGTGAAAATTTAAAAACAATGAAAATAGAAGCAGACTTAGAGAACAAATTGGTGGTTGCCCTATGGAAGAGGGTTTGGGTCAAAAAGGTGAAAGGGATTAAGAAGTACAAATTGGTAGTTACAAAATAATCATGGGAATAGAGTCAATAATATTGTAATAACAGTATAGTGTAGGAGGGTACTAGATTTCAGATGGGATGATCACCTCATATACTGGACATCAGAAACTAATAATACTGTATGTCAACTGTACTTTAAAAAAGGTCACCACTCACTAATATGCTCAGATATTGATTTCAAAATACATATCTAATAAAAGAAATCAGGGCTCCTTGAAGAAGTGGTTAATTACAGGGCCAGAGTAAGGAAAACAGAAGATGAGCCATGAGCCTGGTATATATTAGGATGCCAGAAAGTGCTAAAAAAAAAAAAAAAAAAAAGGCAGCATGTCAAAAGTGTGCAGGAGCCAACCAAGGGTCAAAGCTAGAAATATATCAGCAAAAATGAATAAAGATGATATTGGATTATAATATATAGTATAAAATAAGTATCCTGTGTCCATACTGACATAAATAACAGGAATAGAGGACAGTGTTTCCTTACAGAAGAATTCCAACTAATAAGTATGGAAGGAATAAGGAAAACAGAAAATCCTCACTAGACCGCAGTACTAATTGAGGCAAGCCTGCTCCATCAATTGAAATTAGTGAAAGAAGTTTAAGGAGAAACAAGATATGTGCAAGTCTTAACCTGTCTCCTCCCAAATCAATTAATTACAGAGAAAAACAATAACTTTACAGTGAAGAAATCTAGCAAACATCACTTTAACCAAATGATCAAGGTGGACATCACTCATAATAAGATGTTAACATCATGTCCTCCCTGATATGATACAATGAGAAGGAAACATCACTTTGGCGGTATTCTTCCCCAAAATATACAACTTTAATTTAAACATTATTTTCTCTTGCTCAAACCTCTGAGATGGAAGAGAACCATGTGTGCATGTGTCAAGTGGACAATTAAGCATGAAAGTCTAGAACTCTGTGCAGAGATTTGGACAAGAGAAGAAAATGGAGAACAGTGAGGGGAAGTCCAAATTCATTCAAGTTCAATTTGTCTTTTCAACACTAAGATCACCCCTGAATTCTCCTTTCCCTCTCCCATGGCCTTAATTTTCACATGAATAGCCATGAACCTACACAGGGATACACACCTTCACAGAGGTGACAGACACTGAGACTGGTCACTCAGGCACATAGTCCCACACACTTGCACCCCCTAGAGAAGGGCATGCACAGGAATACACACACACACACAGATGCATACACACAGATTCAAATAGATCACAGAGGCCCACACACATGTGCTCAAACACACACACTCATAAGTGACACACTCAGATACATGTGAATATACCTACAGAGGCCACAAATGCAGTTTTGTGGAGAGGGTGAGCCATGTTTTCCAGTGTATAGTGAAATCTTTTCATCTAATCAGTGGAGGACCTTGACTGCTGGGTGGCGGTGGGAGAGGCAGCAGCCCAATCTGGTCATTGAGCCTCCCTCTGCCATTCATTCATATAGAACCAATTTTGATAAGACATCTAAAGGCTCCACTGGTCTGTTATTCACACTGTACACATTCCTATTCCATTGCGGGTGAACCACTGGGAATTGAGAACAACTTGTAACCAGGAGCAGGGGGTCCATCCACCTGCTATTAAAGATCCACCGCAACAGTCAACTCTCCTCTTACCAAACAGCTTCTGCAGGACTTGCCCGTCATATAAATCTTCAGCCAGGTCTTTCACAATGATTCTTTCTCCAACCAGCACGTCATTAATCCAGTCAATCAATACCTAGAGAGAGAGAAAATAAGAGAAGAGTCATAAGGTATTTTCTTATAGACCAGCTTTCTTATCCTGGACACATTCAATCTAAATGAACTTCCGATCTTGAAGGCAGCAGGGCTATCCACACGACTCAATGTGTGGACAAGCAGATGCACAAGTGTGAGCCCCAATGGGGCTGCTAATTCTCAGGCATAAGCCCTTCTAGTGCTGGTGATACCAGTGTTCCTTTCCCTAACGGCAAGCAACAGTCACCGTGTTCGGCTGTGTGGCTTTGTACTGAGTCAAGTATGGGCTATGGAGTTGAAACCCAGCTTTACCCACTAACTATGGCCCTCTGGGTGTTCCTCACTTCTCTGTCTCTCTCCATCCATCCACCCAGCATTTATTAATCTCTCCTGTATGTCAAAACTCTGTGCTGGATCCTGAGGTACAATGATGGAACAATCAACCAATCTAACTCCAAGAAGCTCCGTGTTTAGTGAAGGAGACAGCGAAGTATTATAGGATGACTACAATGACAGAACCAAATGTAGAGACTGTAGCAGCACCCAGAAGGGCTGAGCAACAACACTAGGGTTTAGAGGAGGTACCCAGTGCCTATTGGTCTTGTTTTATTTGAAATTGGAGAAGTTGAAGAAAAAAAAATAGGATGGGGAATTGGAAGGGGGAATGAAACAAACATTTTGAGGGGTACCTACATGCCAAATATTATGCACAGTAATTCATTAAATACCATTTATTTGTGTTTGAATTACATCTCCTCCACTCTGCTGTGACCAGTTGGCTTCTCTGAGACTCAGTTTTCTCATTTGTAAAATGGGGACTGATAACCAATTCCTACTTCACAAGGAGCTTTTGAGGATCGTTAATAAAAGCAGAGAAAGGAGTGTGTGGCCTAATAGTACAAATAAGCTCACATTTGCCGGGATCTAACTTCTCTGACCCTTACCATCAGCATAATTCATTGGGTATTTGTCCCACTTTTGTTAAATCTTAGATGTTCACTTACTGGGCCATGAGCTGCCTGCAGGCAGGGACTGACGTGACTTTACTCTCTCAGCAGTGGCTCACGTGGTGCCTACATGGGGTGGGTGGTCTATAGACACCTGTTGGGTGGGAGACAACTGGAGCCCCTAATTTCTTCTTACCTTCATCAGCTCTTGGAGTTTGGGATCGCTGCGTGAGTTTGGATCCACCATTGTTCGCACTTCATTCTCCTCTTTAAAAAGAAAAGGGGATCAGTGGGGGTGGCTCCACTGGGTGGCATCAGGCTACCCCAGAGAACAAGAGACCCAGTTACCCAGCATGGTGTCCTCCGGGTCCAGCTCGAAGGGGATGGGGCTGAGGGGCAGGTTGATGGCGTTCATGCCCTCCTCCTGAAGCTCGGACACTGCAAGGAGAAGAAAGCACAGTCGTGTCACAGCTGCTGCCGATCTGACAAACATGTTGGATATTGATATTGAGAAACAAAACCACTCAGGTTTGGTTACAGCAGTGGCTCAGCCTGCAATCAATTTCCCAGCTCTCCTTGCTCGAAGGACTGAATTGTTCCTTGCAGCTCATCTCTTCCAGCTGTCACCCATTCCTTTTCCTTGGAAGAAGTTGGGAGGTCTCTGCCTCCTCTCAGGATAAATGAAAGTGAGGTGGGCAGGGAAGTCTTTCTAACGTCTCTGACTTTTGTGTCCTGCCACCCCTCCCTTCAGAGGGCTTGCTGTGGGGGCCTGACAACTGTTGACTGGATGAAGGAGTGCACCACGTGAAGGCTACCTTCATGCTGTACGCCATCTCCATCCTTGACTCAACTTTCTCTCCTGATTTTTCTGATTATCCTACTTCACCCCGTCCAGCTGCTGTGAGAAAGTCTCAGTCCAGCCTCCTCCCTAGGCTCTGGTCTTCCCCCTTCAAACTCTAAGGAGCTGAGGGCCCAAGACCCATCTCTCCTAAAATCAGTGACTTACATCCTCTATTCAATTCCAGTTCGGATAATTATTTTTTACCAACCAAGCACACACAAACAAAACAAAACAAAACACATTATCTCTGAAAGTGTCGGTCAGCAAAAGGTTCTTAAAGAAGGAACATGGCCACTGCAATCAACCTTAATAGAAGCCATGTCCCATCTCTCCATTTTATTTTATTTTTCATTGGCTCTGGCCTCACCGATGGCCCGTATATACTTGCAAGAACTCTTGAGCACAAGGCAGCGCTTACAAAGAGTCCTTTCATATTATCAAACTCACTGATGGTTGCAGTTGGATGGAGAACAAGATTGCCTAACAAAGGCACTCTACCCCAAAGAGACACAACTTGCTTTATAAGGCTGGCATTTAATCCCGTGGCTGTGGGCCCTTGACATTTATATGGGATGTCAGCCAGTCACCGTCTTGAATCTCCAAATTCACAGACACCCATTAACCCTATAAAATTCTCCCCCATAAAACATGATGAAAAATATAAGCGATACCTTCAAGACTGAAGTGATCCTATAGGTACAGGGTTGTATTTGCTTTCCAGAGAATTGTTTCCTTAAACTTCTATAGTGTCTTCTACTATTCCCCCCAGAACTGGCAGTTTGATTCTTTTCTAGGCTGTTTCTCACAAAGCAGCAAGATTCCCAACCCTTAAAAAGCACTGCTGTGCAAGAATGGGAAGTGAAAATAAAGTCCCACTTTATGTGGGAGAGAGGCTGCACCTACTGGACAGAGAAGAAACGGGCTGTTACTGGCCAGGACCTTCTCTACCTACACTCTCCCCCAGGTCTGTGCTGTCCAGTGTGGGAGGGGTTGGCCACATGGGGCTCTTACAATGCAGATGAATTAAAAAAATTTAGTTTCTTTGCCCAGTTGGCATGGCTCAGTGGTTGAGCATTGGCCTATGAACCAGGAGGTCACAGTTCAACTCCTGGTCAGGGCACATGCCCAGGTTGTGGGCTCAATCATCAGTGTGGGGCATGTAGGAGGCATGATTCTCTCTCATTGATCATTGATATTCCTTATTTCTCTCTCCCTCTCCCTTCCTCTCTAAAATGAAAAAAAAAAAAAATGTTTAATTGAATCTCTTAGTTGTACCTATCACATTTAAAGTGCTTGATGGCCCACATGTAGCTGGTGATGACCATACTGAATAGCACAGATGTAGATTTCCATCATCACAGGAGTGGACAGCATTGTCCTAGATGATCCCATGCATCTAAATCTCTGCCTAGGCCTGACACAGCCACAAGCTTACTGGATGTCTTCTGTTCTATTAGCAGAGGTCTCAAATTTAGCCATCCAAAACAGAATCTGAGAATCTGATTTTCAATACCCTCACCCCCACCTCCACAACACTGTTCTTCCCCTCCTCACTAAGCAGCCCCAGCATATCTACTGTGGTTTAAGCCCAAACCCAAAGAGTCATCTGTAACAACATTCCCCCCTCACCTTTTGCATCTAATATATTGGCAAGTTTTGTAGGCTCCACCTCCAAACCAGGACCCAATTCCAACTGCTGCTCACCAGCACCACCACCACCATCTGGTTCAGGCCATCCTTCTCTTTTACCTGGACAACCAGAACTACCTTCTAACAGGTCTACTGCTTCCTAATGCATAATCTCCCCCCTCAGCCCTACCCTGTCTGCTTCCAATGGCACAGCCAGATGGATACGTAAAGATGTAAATCAGCTCCTACACTCTCCTGCTTTAAGACTTCCTCCCATACTCAAAAGAAAACCCCAACTCCTAAGACCTAGAAACCCCTGCCCCCTCTCACGTTTTATTTGCTTCAAGCTCTCAATATGACCTGAAATCATTACTAGCTATAGATTTGTTAGCTATCCCTCCCATTAGAAGAGAAGCCGTGGGAAGCCTGGCACTTTTTCTTTTTTGCCCACTGTGAGGTTCCCCAAGAGGAGCCAGACTCCCTAGATTAAAATCCAAGATCACTTACTAGCTATGTGACCTTGGGCAAGTTCATCAACCTCTTATACTGAGTTTCCTTATCTGAAAAACAGGAACGACACTATTGCCTACCTCTTAAGGTTGCTGAGAAGGTTAAATGAGTTAATATATGTAACATATTTAGAAGACTCTCTGGGTACCTAATAAGATCTATGTAAATATACGTTGTTCTTATTACTTAAAACAATACCTCACGTGCCGTGAGCACTCAAGAACTACTTGTTGAATAAATGAATAATCAAAACTGTTAAGTCCACCCTTCAATTGCCCAGGTTATGGGTTGAAGCATAATTTGCCAAAGCAGTGCACAGGATGTAAAGAAGGATTCCAGTTTATCCTCAGGAAAAACCTGCAAAATTTTTGACCCTGTGTGTGCAAGTGTGTATGTGTGCGTGTGTGTACTTGTGTGCACATGTGCACTTTCCTGGGCCAGCATTCCCAGCTTGGAAGGAGAAAAAAGCCGCATGTGTCCCCAAAACTGTTGTACAGCCAGAGCCACTTGGTGAAAATGGAGACTTTTATACCTCTAACGTGTGCCCAGAAATGCAACATTAGCAGCCAGGATGCCTAAACGTCAGTCTGAATGGGATCTCTTGTACTTGGAGATCACGGTTAAAAATTATTTCAGATTAAAAAATCCCCCATCAGAAATACCCCCCTCTGCCCTGCCTCTTTAATTCACTCACAGAGACAAAACAAACCCAAGAAGAAAGGCTGAGATATGTTTGCAATTGGAAATGTTTTTTTCAGGAAATGATTTGGTACAGGAACATCATTCCCATCCCATTAACTGCTGACTCTGAGCCAACTGTTTGTAAAAGTGAATATGCAAACTGCCCGGTCCAGGCCTGGCCCCCGCCCCAAGGGGCTGCATTAGCGGCCACTTTCCCAAAACAGCCCGCCTGCTTCGGAGGTTTCATTCCTATTAAACCCAAGCCGGACCCAGCAGACGCCCCTCGCCAACCCTGAGTTCTGCAAGAGAAAGAGCTGCAATTGAATTTTCTCAGCACAGAATATGAATATGATGTTTATCCGCCGAACCTCCTCTCACAATCTAAAACTAGGCCTGAATGTGCAGCCCCCGGTGTCTCGCAGCACCATTAGTCATAACTTAATAAGCAGATTAAATGCCCAGCGGAAGGTCGGCTGGGGAAAGCAGGGCGATGGCCTCCACTCCCGAAGTGCTCACCACGAGAAAGGGGGCTTTGGCTTTTCTGGGAAATGAGGTTTGCCTCTGGGTCCAGCTGTGCAGCAGAATAACTACTCGAATGGGCTTTGGAGTTTTAAAGAGCTGGATTTGAATCCTACTTCTATTTTTATCAGCCATGGGACTGTATGCAAGTGAGTGAACCTCCCTGAAATTCGGCCTAAACCCAGTCACTATGAAAAAGGGTGTAGTGGGCACTGCTGGCTTCCTCCTCAATATTTGTTTTATTTTTCCTCTCCTGCTGCTGAAAGAACACTCCTTTTGTTTCAGCATATACCCTTCCCTCCTCTGCCTCTAGGTGAGATCCTGGTTAGTTTATACTAATCACAATCATCTTAATTTCCTCAGCAGTGATGGCTCAAGCATTGTCTTGCAATGCAAAATTCTGGGAAATAAACTTTGAGAGGAAGTTTCTAGAAGCTTCTAGATTTCCCCCCTCCACTTTAAGGAGAGGCCCAAGGAAGAGAAGTTATCTTTCTCCTCACCAGTATTGCATCAGGATGCTAAGCCTGGATTTGTTGCAGCCATTTTGTTGCCATGAGGTGACTCAGCCCAAAGGAAAACTCATTAAGTTAAAGTTGGCAGAGAAGAGAGAGAGAAGGAAGGGTTTTTTCTTGATACAGTTAAGCCACCATTTCTAAAGCCACCCTAGCTTTATGTCTTGTTAGAAGAAATATAATCAGTTCCCTTATTGTTTAAGCTGGTTGAGTTGGCGTTTTCTGGTAATTGGGTCCTAAACTCCCTAACTGATTTATGAGACACCAGGATGATAAAGTGGGTGGATGAATACAGTAGGTCTGCAGTGAATGATAATCCCCCCCCCTTTTTTTTCTCCATGAAAAAACGGAATAGCTGTAGGCATCTCTCACACTCCAGAAACACCTAGAGGGACTCAAAGAATACCAGGCAGAAATCAAGGATGGAGAAAAGAATGGACAGATTTCTAAAAATATGAAAGGGTCCACGTATGTAAGGCCAGTAATTTCATTCATCCAACCAGTAAATATTTCTGGGCATTCTCCTCTAAAGCAGACCCTGTGCCAGCAAGGGGGATGAAGGTTTAGGGATTTGGCATGGGTCTGCCTCAATCTGCTCACAGGTAGCAGAGGAAGGCCTATAAACATAGCATGCAGGACGCTGCACTCAGGGGTGAGAGACATGTAGCCAGAGGGCTAATGGGAGTTTCGGAGGAACAAGGCTGGCTAATGCTGCATGGGGAAGACCAGGAAGGATTCCCAGAAAG